TGTCTTCCGACGGTGAAATGGGGAGGTCTGCTTCCACATCAGAAGGTGGAGAAGGCATGTCTGTATCATCCCCTTGATTTGATGTATCATCAGAACTGGATGAATCCTCAGGCAGTTCCGGGGAAGGAACGGGCATAATTGGAGGTACCTCTATTGGTATCGATGAGTTCGACAGTGGAGGCAAAGCTGGACACGGTCTTTGTGGCGGTATCGACGGTCTGGAAGGGAGATCTCTAAATTGCGATAACCTGGACGACACCAACTGACGATCCCACTCCGTCGGGGGCAGTGGTGGAGGTGGAAGGACCCATGGATATGGGTACCGATTGCCATAAAGATATTGCCATTGTTGCTGATCCCAAGTTAGGGGAGGCGAGGGAGGTGATCGGTGTCGATCATTGAGAGTGTAAGTAGGCGAGGCTTCGATAGACTGGTGGCTAGACTGCTTGGATTCAGACAATGGAGCCTGCTGCGTAAGGTCCATATCGGGATCAGAATCGAGAAGCTGGTTGCCGTCCAGAGGCAGTGAATCTGGGGCACGCCCTTGACTAGCCGACACCTTATGGATTCTGGATTTTGTGTCCTTTTTAAGTTTGGGAGGCTTAATCTTGGTGTCTTTGCCCTTCTTCCGGATCTTGGAAGGTACGGCATCAGTTAACCCCTGCTTCCGGATCTTAGAAGGTATGGGGCTGTCACTGGTCGATACTGACTGTTTCGGTGCCGAAGCATCGATAGCAACTGTCGACGTCGAATTTCCCGAAGCTGGGATAAGAGCGTCCGGAGTCAAAGTAGACACTGAGGCATGTCCCGATGCATCAAGTGGCGATGAAGACTGTGGGGAAAGAGCTTTCTCCATGAGCGCCAAATGGAGTCTCGCAGCTCTATTCTTCCGAGTCTGATTGGAAAATTTTTGGCAATGTTTGCACGAGGAAACACGGTGAGATTCCCCTAGGCACACCAAGCACAAAGCGTGTCCGTCTGTGGGGGAGATTTTCAGTCCACAGGACTTACACCGCTTGAAGAAACCCCACCGCGGGGCCATAGGCCAGCGGAGGGGAGACAGAACAACTTTAAACCCGAAAGAAAAATACTAACAATACGGAAAAATAAAGAAAAAGGCTAACTAACACGGAATTGGAAAGTGAAACTAGTACTAATCAGACCGAAGCAAAAAGGCGTCCTACCAGTGCGGCGGTCAGAGAAGAACTGGCGGGATCTGCGTGCCCCTCCTTGGTCATGCGCAGTGGAGCCTGGCACGTGACCTAGGAGAGGGCGCGAAAATCCCTTTGGCTAGCTACCGGTACCGAGAAGATCAGCGCAGGCGCAGACTATCCCAAGGGTGTGATGCACAGAGACCACGAAGAAGATCGAATGCTTCTAATAGCTATCCCAGCAACAATCCCCCCCCCCCAACGTACACATTAGAGCGCAAAGTCGCTGTGTTGCACCTTTGGTTTTGGGAACAGTCTTGTCGTGCGAAGAGGTGCCCCAGGCAAGATGCTCTCGCCTCCCTTGATGGGGATGCCAGGGGTCTTGGCACACACCCCCTCCCCCTCGAGTGCAGGATTCCCTTGGCACACATTTGAGCTACTCCCTGCTGTATTGTGTTCCCTGGCATGATCTAGAATTGAATCTCAGTGCAGGAAGGAAGGAAGGAAGGAAGGAAGGAAGGGCTGTTCTAGGTGGATTCTGTAATTCTCTGCTTAAACACCACCACCACCCACTCAGCCGTTGTCCCCTGTGTGGTTCAGAAATGGCTCCGTTTCAGATGTCTTTACAGCGGAGTAGTGCGAGCCTCTCCTCTCCCTGTGGCCACCTGGAAGAGTGGCTCCAACCCCTTCAATACTGAGCAGGCAACAGCTGTGGTATGTTGAGGTTAAGACAGCTGGGGCAATCGGTAAGTATGTCAGCCAGGACTGGTGGGGGGGGGGGGGGAGAAGGCAGCATGGTGTGTGTGTGTCTAGCTTGATCTCATCTGATCGCAGAAGCGGAGTAGAGTCAGTACCTGGCCGGGAGACAGCCAAAGGCAGCAGTGTCGAGGCATGCAGTGCCCAACCCCCTCGGTTTCTCACTTGCCTCGAAAGCCCCTTGCCGGGGGGGCGGTCGCCGGGGGTCAGCTGTGCCTTGTTGGGACATTATGCATTTGGGACTGGTGAAAAGGAGCGCCATCTGCTTGCCAGGTGCTGGTGGTTTAGGGTGCTAGGAAAGGGCACCGATCACAGGCAGCAACTAGTTTTAGGGGAGACACGGTGGAGCTGCCGTGTGTGGGTCGTTGGGGGGGTGCAGCCAGCCAGAAGATGACGCTCCTGGGACCTTGTAGGTGCCGAAGTCCAGAGTCGAGGAGCAGCTCTTCTTCTGGAGCCACCTGCCACCCCCTGCCAGCTTGCAGCCCAGCCTTCTTACAGCAGGGGGTCCCCCCGCCTTTGTGAGCCTGCAGGCACCTTTGGAGCTTGGCCAGTGTGTATGTGTGTGTGTGGCTGCAACATGGCTGACTCATGAGGGGCAGCCAGCCACCCAAAGGGCCTCCACCACCACTCACCTTCTGTCAAGCAGCGAAGCTCCTGTTTGCGGTGGGGACAGCGGCTGCCAGAGCCACTCAAGCCCATCGGAAACCTTGCGGGATGAAAGCCACACCCGCCTGCTAGGAACACTGTGGTGGGTGCCAGGACCGGTGTCGGGCATCGCACCTGGGAGCCCTGTTCCCTCGAGGGGCCCCTGCACCCAGTTCCCCAGAGAGCTGCCACGGCCACGGCCAAAGAGAAAGGAAGCCATACAGCCTTTGTCTCCAAATGCTACGTCTAACCTTTATTTAGACATGTGCTCAGCTGCAAGAGCCAAGAATTTATGCTTCATCCTCCTCCTCCTCCTCCTCCTCATTCAATGTGAATGACACTATACATGGATCCAGTGCAGGCAGCAGGGCAGGCCAGGCCGCGCCTCTCCTCGGCCACGGGGCCTTTTCTGTTGGTCTTGTGCTTCTTCCACCTGTGGCTGCACAATAGTTGCCCTGCTTGGGGACACATTGAATGAAGTAGTATATAGTCCATACTATATATTTACAGACAATGGTAAACCCACCATTTAAAAAAATACACAAGAACTAAGGCTCAATGTATAAGCTTGGCTGAAACCATTTTCCTCCCTATGAGAATGGAGACGCAGAGGAGTTGCGCATGTCCCCCCCCCCCTTTATCTTCCCCACCAAAGCCAGCTGTTTCCCCACACACTCTGCCCCTCCCCCCCCGCCGTGAGCCTGGCGCTTGACTCTGCTCCACGTAAGGCGCGCCTGGAAAGGCAAGGCAGGCCTTGGGCTGGCCGCCACGCCATGAGGGTGGTGGCGGCTGCAGAGGTGTGACGATGGGACGGGGGTCGCGGAGGGTGGGGCTGGAGGCCCGGCAGTGAGAACCATGTGCCCTCTCGCCCAGAGTCGTCTTCATGCCATGGTGCCAATGGATGAGAAACGGCAGGAACCCGCTGCCCAGGGATATACAGCTGTCCAGACATGGCTGGGGGGGGGGGGTTTCTCCTGCCCCATCCTCTCTAGCTTTCTCCTCCCTTCACCTTGGGAGGCCCAGCTGCTGAAACAGCCACGGCTGCCATCCACGACCTGACCTTTGCGCTCACAACAGCCAGACTTCTGCTTGTGGGCATCCTGCACAATTGGTCATGAACAGGGAATGTCTCAGTGCCTTTGCCTCTCTGTGGAGCCCCCTCCCCCCCGCCCCAGGCTTTTCTGCTCCAAAGATGATAGCCTGCATGCGTTCCTGGGGGGCGCTCCCTGGAACCGAGGTGGGGGGGGGAAGAGGACAACTGCACAGTCCCTTTTGTGTCTCAGAAGCCCGCAAACCGTTAACACTTGAAGGTGCCTGGTCAGCACTCGGCACCCCCACCCCGCCATCAAAGTCCACGGGCACGCTCCTCCGTGGGTGCCGTTTCCCACCCCTGCGTCTGGCGGCTCCGGTCCGGCATCCTCCCCCCCCCCCTTCAGCTCCAGCTCGAGTTCTGCAGGTCCTCTCGCAGCCAGGTGGGCAGGGGCTGCCCGAGCTTGTTCAGCAGCTTGGAGAGTTCGATGTTGTGCTCGCGATAGAAGTCCGCCAGGAACATGCGGGACTGCAGCCGGGCCGAGAGGAAAGGACACCGTTAGCGAATGGCCACAGCGTTTGACGAAGGCCCCCACCCGCCCCCCCCCCCCCGTCTTCTCCTCTGTGCTGTGAGCAGGGAAGGCCCCGCCCGGTACTCACCGAGGAGTCCATCTCTGGGTACTTCCTCCCTTTGCTTCTCCCCAGGCACTTGGTCTTCCCGCCGTTCAGCACCTGGCACCAAAACCCCTTGGCCTCATCAAACCTGCACAGGAGTGCGCTCGTGTTACGCACAATGACACAGGTGGGCATTTGCATGGAACTAACATTTGTTGGATCACTGCAGTGCAATTTCATGCCCCATCGGAATTCTTTACTTTCATTACAACCTTTTTATCACCCCACCCCCTTCCTTGTGGTTCAAGGAAGCAAATGAGGATTTGGGCAATCGTCCTGCAGCCTTCTGAGAGAAATCAAAACGATACCCAGGGGGGGAAATTAACACATGGCAGCTTCCTTGGGAACATAAAAGGAAGCGACCTGTAGGTCCCTTTTTTAACCAAACGTTTATTTTGTCGCCCATCATTCTCCGGCGCCTGGGGGCTTTTATTTCCAGAGTCACGCGGAGGGTCCCCAGTGGAGCGGAGAGGCCCAGGGCAGGTGTACTTCTCTGGCCCCTGCACATCCTGGCTTCTCGCCCCCGGAATCAGTTCCTCCCCTGCTCGCCACCAGGCAACGGCCTTTGGGGACAGTTTAAAGCGAGGCTCCTCGGGAGGGGCAGCCTCTAAGGCCAGCTTTCTTCTCTGCCCGTTCGGGGGCACGAGGACCCATAACCACCAGGGCACGGCTCAGGGGCAGAGCCTTGGCAGGGACAGCCAGGGAGCAAAATGACTCTGATGCCGGGAGTGACACCTGTCTGGGAGGTGAGGCGGAGAGAAGGTGGCAAGGGGACCGAGCCAACGTCTAGCAGCCAATGGGAGCAGCAGGTGTGGTGTCGAGAGGACGAGGCTCTGTTTGGGTCCACACGGTGGGCCGCGGCCAGAGGGCTGGCGGAGGATGGGAGAGGCCCTCCCGGGTCAGGCTCCGCCAGGCCAGGGCATCTCCCAGGGCCGGCCCCTCCCTCCCAGTCTCAGCCGCCCCACCGGTCTGCTGTGAGGATGGCATGGAGGGGGCCAGTGTTGTGAGCCCCTTTGGATCCCAGGGGGAAGAAAGGAGGGGTATCAATGGGGCCAACAATAGAATAAATGTTGGCCAGCTTGGAGAACCTGGTTCTCGGCTGGAGTGAGGCCTGAAGCCGGCGCTCCACCCACGGTGGTTCCCCCTCAGGGGCCGGGGGCAGGCCGGCCCCCCGGGCCAGAGCTCGGCTGCTTCCGAGGGCTCACAGGCCAGCTCTCGTGCTCCGAGCCTCTGCCTCTCCCGGGGTTTTTGCTGCTCGGTTAGATTCCCGCAGCCTCTTCAGACCTGACCGACCAGAAGCAGACCTCACTCCCCCCGCCCGGGATGGTCCATGCATATATGTGCAGAATCCTTACTTGAGTGCTTGGGTGTAGTTGAAGAGTGGTGTGACCCCCAGAAACCTTTGGACGTTCTCCATGACCGAGGCGGGGCTGTGCCGGAGCTCCTGCCCGTCCACAATCAGCATCTGGAGGGGGAGGCAAAGCGAGAGGAGGGTTCGGGGGGGTGGAGGAGAGCTCTCCTGAGCCCAGGAGCCAGGCAGCAGAGACTCCCAGGCGAGAAACAAGAGCGCCCGTCCTGTGTCTTTGTGTACCGTGCGTTGGTTTGAGCCCTCTCAGTGAGTGGGGTAAAGAAAACGCAGGAGACCCGTACGTCCAGAGTTCATCAAGCAGCACCCAAATGCTCGGTGAATCGCAGAGTGGGCTACAGGGACCAGGTGGCTTTTGTGGCCGGGAACTCATTTCCTCCCCGTGAGAGGGGGCGGCTTGAGCAAGCACGGTTCCGCTGCAGAGGATTCCCTGCGGTCACAACTATCGGGGCAGAGTTCTCTTCCCGCCAAGCTGGCCAGCACGCAGGACCCGCCCGCTGGAGAACCACCTCGACTTCCCTTCCGCTCGGCATCCTCGTGCCTGGGGGCCACTCGGGACTGGGAAGCCGGCAAGCTTTGAGTGGCCCTCCCAGCGGGCCCAAGACAGCCACGGCCTCCCTGCCGGGTCACTCGCTCTGCCGCAGACAGCCAACCGGGTAACAAGGCTGCCTTCTTGGTGGCAGGCACGACCTGCCAGGAGCTCTCCTGCGCCAGCGGCACTGGAGTGTGGGGCAGCTTTGCTGTGTGCTTTGATTCCCCCCTGCCCTTGGCTCCCAGGCAGGCACCTGCTCCACAGATGACCGCCTGGCAGGCAGCCGTCATGGGCCATCCGGGAAGAGCCACCCAGTGAGGAAGGCCAGGACCCTTGGCTCCAAGGGCTGCAGCCCTACCTGCCCCGAGGGGTAATAGGCCAGCCATCGCTCCAGGTGAGTGACGTACAGTCCCGGGGTCAGGCAGCGGCTCCGCAGGTTGTGCAGCTCCAGAGGGGCTTGGGGCCCCGCAGAAATCACCTGGTAGAAGGTGTAGTTGAGCGCCATGGGGTCGTCGTGAGCGCGCTGGTGCTGGGAGCATCCGTGGAGGGCAGGCAGAGAAAAAGACGACTGAGGGTTAGGAGTCCTTCCTCCGGAGCACTCCGCCCCCCTCCCCGCCTCTCATCTGGAGGCCAGCCATGCCATGCAGCAGGGCTTACCTGATACCAGGAGTAGGCTCGGTCCGCGGGGTTGATCAGGATAGTGATGATTTTGGCCCGTGGGAGGAGAGCGGCACTTCGCTTGGGGACGGCCTCAGCGTCAAAGTAATTGGCGCTCTTCTCAAACATGAAGTCCGTGCTGGCATTGGAGGGGATGGGGAAGAATTCCATGTACCTGTCAAGAGAACCAGGCAGGGCTGAGGAGGGCCTCCCCTGGAGCCTAACGGAGGGCCGGCTGCCTTCCCTGGCATAGGAAACCAGAAGGCGGTGATAAAACTGCAGGGTGGGCAGCAGAGGACAACGCCCACGCAGGGTAGCCGTGTTACTGGGTAGCAGTATTCACTTATGGGCTAGCGCTGTGTGTGAACAAGACGTTGGGGTAAGGGTGCCAGCCGGGGGGGGGGGGACCTGGCAACCCAGGGAACACCACACACGGTGCAGTTAAATATGAGCAGCCAATGTGATGCAGCGACACAAAAGGCGAATGCGATCTTGGGGTGTATCAACAGGCATAACATCGAAACCGCAAGAGGTTGTCATCCTGCTGTACACTGCCTTGGCCAGGCCGCACCTGGAGTCTGGTGTGCAATTCTGGAGGCCTCCCTTCAAAAGGATGTGGACAGGATGGGGTGGGTGCAGAGGAGAGCGATGAGGGTTTGGTCACAACTGGGGCTAGTGTAGACATCTGCATCAGCAGACAGCGCCATCCCCTGTACCACAGGCTGGCATCCACAGCCCACCTGAGGGCTGATCCTCTCTAGGGCTACTGGGTCACTTCAAGAGCGAGGGCTGCAGCCTGTGGCGCCAAGCAGTGCCGTGCCAGGGGCCCCAGGGGGACTCTGCCCTTCCTCCCATGAGCCGAGGAGATCCCAGGCTGCACCCAGACAAGTCTCCGAGGGGGGCTGTGCTGGCCTGCACCAGGAGCAGCCGAGAGAGACCAGCAAGGTCTACGGGGGGCCTGGCCAAGGCAGCTCTGGCACTCGGAAGCTCACCACACCCTCAGGACCTCCGTGGCCCGGGACTCGCCGCTCGCTATCCCCAGAGGCAGCCTGTCACCAGGGCAGACCGGAGCAGCGTCTCCGTGAGGTGACTTCGTGCTTACCAGTCGATCCCTTTGTGGTAATTGGGACCATTGAAGAACTGGATCTCTTCATAGGTGGACAGGCTTGGGAAGTTACTGGTCACGGCGGGATGCATGGAGAGGAAGAAATGCACAGCTGTGGTGCCTACAAAACACATGGGCAAAAGGGCTTTACCGCACGCCGTGAAGAGGACATGGATGTCAGCGGCAGTGCTTCCCATCTCTCTTCTCATGCGCCGCCTATGAAGGGATACTTGCCCCAAAAGTGGCCACGCCAGCTGCTCTTTCTGGGGCGGGAAGACGGGATGGGAGGCCTGCTGGTTCTCGCCAGGCAGCGTTCAAACGATGAGGGTAGCAAGATTTGGAGTCCAGGACAGGGGCTCGCAGACACAGACATACCTGAGCCACTAGGGGGCACCAGCAACCCTTTGCATTCTTGGATTCCCTCCCTTGGCAGGGCTGGAGTTGCACACCAGGCACTCCGAGGAAGCCCAAGGGGGCGCGGGGGGGGGGGGGCGCGGCGGCTATTTTCTGCGGCTTCGGGCTTGGAATGGCCTCCTCCTCACCCCCTTCTGCCTGTCCCTTCCCAGTCTAGGCCTCAGGGTCCCGATCCTATGCGCCTAACAGCCCAAGAGGGGGAAATCCTAGCGGCACAGAAAGGAGACCCTCGCCCATGGACAGGAGGAGTCCGAGTGAGGTCTCTCTGAGCGTCACCTGTTTTCTGAGGCCCGACGATGAGGAACTTGGGGAGCCGGTCACAGGTCTTCTCCTTGGACCAGATGTCCTTGTGCCGCTTGTCATCACAGGGGTTCTACACCAAGGGAGGGAGAGACCGAGCCTGAGACCCCGGGGAGAGGGCGTGGCAATCACGGGCAGCGGCAGGAAAGAGCGCAAAGAACACACACACATACACATGGCCTTGTCTATGGAATTCACAGAAAAAGTCACCCCACAGTCAAGCTGGTGTTTACAGTCTAGTCCACTGGGGGCCTTCGGACTCAGCACGCTTAACTACGGCTTTCTCTACCCCTTTTTCTTTTGAAAAAGTGGTGAGGATTTTTTTAAAAGCAGACAAATCTATACAGACTCGGCACCGTCAGTCAAAGTCCCCAGAGGCTTGGTGGCTGAGATTTCCCTTCCATCAGCCGTTGCAAAGGACACTGTTGACTATAACGGGTCTCTTGCCTTGGGCACATTCTCTTCTCCCTGATGGAAACGCCCGCAAGTCTGTAAGGCCACGAAGTCCAGGGCAGAGGAGGGGTGAGGTGGGGTGGGTCCAGCTTCCTCAGCATCTGTGCTGCAGCTCACTCTGGAGTTGCCCAGGGAGCGGCGCTTGGAGAACCATGGACCAGGAGCCCAGGGGGGCAGGAGAGGGCTGCGATGCACAGTGCCAGGCCCCAAGGGGGCATCGGGATGCCAAGTCCCAGGCGGCACGAGGGATAGGATGGCATCGGGGCAGGCCTGCCTGCATCACTGGAGTGTGTTAATCCCCCTCGTTATTCACGTTGAGCAATGGGGGGGGGGGAACACAAGCGAGAGCTTGAGAGGACACTGGAGGAGCCGTCGTCCATCCCAGGCCCGCTCGCTGGCCTCCCCTTTGGCTTGCCGCCTGCCTCCAGGAAATCCGTCCCTTTCCCCCACAGCCACCCTGATTCCTGAAGACCGGTGACAAGACGAGGAGGAGACCGGCGAGCATGCCCGGGATGGATGGCAGAGAACCGGTGAAGGCGCTGAACGCCTGCCGGGTGTGGGAGCGCGCCAGGAACCCTTGGTTCTGAAGGCTGGACTTTAATGTTTTGGCCTTCATTATTTGTTTTTTGTCAGCTGCCTCAGGCAGGTTCGCGGAGAGACGGCATCACATTTTTCTAGACGGGTAAATCAATTTGCCCAGGGGGTCCTGGGGGCGAGGAAGGCCCAGCCGGCGGAGGCAAAGGGGATGAGGCCTCTCGGGGCCCTTGGTCCTTTCCTGGCTGGCCCACACAGCTCCCAAAGGCTCCCTGAACCTGCGGCAACAGCCCCAGATGCGAATGGTGGCGCAATCCCACGCCAGCCCCGACGAGATCATGGTGATCCAGGCTTACGCCTGACCGTGTGCCGGCCTGACTTGCCCTCGAGCCCTGAGGCACACAAACTGGCTGCCCCTCGCAACTGTCTGGCCGGGTTCCGCCAGGGAGGGTGAGTCGCTGCAGTGTCCAAAGGTCCCGTCAGAACAGGAGTCAACCAAGACTTGGGAGTTAGGCTCTCTGGACAAAACAGGGACTTGGTCCGGGCACAGCCGACCTCCCAGCTGGGCAGAGCATACTTAGCAGAGCCCCAGGCAGCTTAGGAAGACCTCCTGGCTTCCCTGCCAACCGTGGACCACTGATGCCCGGGCAGCCCGTGAGTGGCATTCCGAGTGCTCTTTTGGGCAGGGTGGGGGGGCTCCTCCAGGGCCCACAGAGCTCTTTTCCTCCTCCTCCAGCTGCAGGACAGGGAAGGGGGGGGGCCCTGCCATCTCCTCACCTGCCACAGAGGGTTCTTCTCCTGTGAAAATATTTCAAAATACTTCTTGGCCAGCTGAATGGGGGGCAGCGTCTGAAGGCGAAGGTTGGTCCAGCACTGTACAAACTTGACAAGGCTTTCAAAGGTGTACAGCCCCAGGCGGTCGTTCCCGTAGTTGGACAGGTGCGTCATGAAGATGCTGATCTGTGGACAAGGAAGAAAAAAACCCCACGGCACGTGTCAGTCCCCACATGCCACTGCAGACGGGGGGCTCTGATCACAGGCCCACACGCGTTTCACAACCTTCCGCCACGTGTGCGGTGCTAGCAGAGCACTGCAGGGCCCCCACACCACTGAGGTTCCGGGCTGCCCACCAGTCCTGCCTGGCCACACCCACCCTCTCTGGCCATCTGCTGTGTTTCCCCGCCCCGCCCACCAAGTTGATCGAGAAGGGTGGTTCCCCCCAAATCAGAGGGGAAACCAGCAGGGTGTGCGTGACTCTCCTCCTGCAAACTCCCTGCTCCTTTCCACGGTAATAATAGTCTCTTGTGTCAACAAAAAAACTCCCCCAAAACATGAGAAGAATCCATCAGTAGGTTCTTCTGGCATTTCAGTTCTTTATCCTCATGCCACATCCCATCTATGCAGGTCAAGGAAAGCAGCCTTGGAAGAGGGCGGCAGGCAGAGGCAACGGGAATGCCAAAGGCCAGGGTGTGGCAACGCTGCCCGTGATCTGGCTGCCAGTCCCACGTGTGTCCTTTCCGAGCCGGCACAAGGAACATTGAGTGGTGCAGGGAACTCCCCCAAGAAACAAGCGGGGGGGGCCCCTCATTTTATCTTTGCACTGCTGTAAAGAAGGGGATGGAGCTGGGCCTGGTGCTGCCACAGAGGAGTCCCTGGAGGCAAAAGAACAAGACCAGGCGACTGAGAGAATGGGGTTAAGGCCCAGGACTCTTTTGTGCCACTGTCAACACTCAGGTAAAGGAGGAAAAAATGGAATGGAACAGTTACAACGATTGCACTGCTGCCTTAGGGCTGGGCAGGGTTTGTAGACGTGTTCCAGAGAGCCACTTTGGTGTAGTGGTTAGGAGCGCGGACTCTAATGAGGGAGAACTGGGTTTGATCCCCCACTCCTCCTCCACATGCAGCTGCTGGTGTGACCTTGGGTCAGTCCCAAGTTCATTCAGAGCTGTTCTCTCAAGGGCAGTAAGAGCTCTCTCAGCCCCACCCTACCTCACAGGGTGTCTGTTGTGGGGAGGGGAAGGGAAAGGAGATTGTGAGCCGCTCTGAGACTCCCTTGGGTAGTGAAGGGCCATGGGGTATAAATCCAGTCTCTCTTCTCGTCCTGGGTGACTTTTATGAGCCGTTTTGCCGATTCCAAGCGAGCACAGGCCGCATGTTTTGTGACTCGCCTGTATTCCTGGCACCCCTTCTCCAGAAGATCCCTTTCCCACACACACACACACAAGCCCCCCTCAGGCTGAACAGCTCAGACTGAACCAAGTCTTAGTTGCAGGGGGTGGTGGGGGTGAAAGGCTGCCTAGACACATTTTATTTAAGAATTCCCAGGAGAGAGACAAGGAGACACAACTGCTTGCTCCCCCCCCGCCGCCACCACCACCACCACCACCAGCACGTGACCTTCAGGGGACGGAAGCAAAGCCGGCAGGAAGGAGAACAACAAGGTGGGAGACGGAAGTGGGATGGTGGGATCGGTTTCCTCTATGCCCTGCTCTTCTCCCCAATGGGGAGCCATTTTATCCTTGCTAGAAGAACCCCGTGAGGTGGGTCAGGCTGAGACCGTGTGCCTGGCCCAAGGACACCCACTGAGCCTCCACGGCAGAGCAGGGATTCGAACACAGGTCTCCCGGATCCTAGCCCGACGCTCTCCCTGCTGCGCCACCTCAGGCTCCCAAGTGTCCGGCGGGTGGTCGTTAGGTTCGAGGGCCCGGTTCTCTGCTCTGCTTTCCCTGTCCGGTGTGACCGTCTCCACTCAGAGCCCAGCACACTTGGAGGACGAGTGGCAGGGGGAAGCCCCCGGGAAAGGGCTCGCTGCATCGCCTGCCCCCCCCCCGAAACAGAGGCCGATCGGGAGGGGGGCCGTCACGCGCCCAGCACGCCCCTCCAAGCGCTCAGATGTCTAAAAGCCACGGCCAGGATGGCTCCAGAATCACCTGGAGGGAATGCACGGGAACATCCCGGCTGATCTCAGGGTCAGCCAACGGCCCTTCTCCCCTTCAGAGAGGAGTAGCCTTCTGAGCGTGTCGCTGTGAGGGTGGCTGTTTCCCAGCCAGTGATGGCTTCCTGTGCCCCGGGACTTCCTCTTAACACTCACGCCAGTTCCTTTCATAACTGAGCCCACTCTGGTCCAGAGAAAACATCCTCTGCTTCCTCCACTCCGTTGCCAGGCGTCTTCCAGCCTTGCTGGATTTACCCGCTCTGTGGCTCAGAGAGAGAACCTGTGTGTGTGTGATGACTTCCGCTGAAAAGTCACCGTCAGTTACCCCCCCCCTCGGTGTCAGCTGCTGCAGGTCACAGGCTTGGGGGGAGGGGGGGTCTGCACATATCACTGTGCTTGGAGCATGCACGAAGTGTCCCCCGTGCTCAAGACGGGTCACCGCGTTAGTCCGTCTGCAGCAGCAGAAAGGAGCCAGAGCCCGATGAGGACTCTGAAGCAGTGGCCGCAGCGACTCACGAGGGCGCCTCCCCTGCCGCGGATTGTGTGGGCCTTTACGGTGCTCCTGGACTCTGGCTCTTTTCTGCTGTTGGGGGAACACCCTGATCTCCAACCCGGATCACCAGTCGATGATCTCTCCTGCCCCTCCCCCCAGCCTAAGGAGCCACGGCCCAGAGCCGAGGAGGCCCCTTTGGGATCCAAGTCCCTGGTCAGAGCCGGAACCCTCGCCCAGAGGACTCGGCATCCGCGGAACGGCCACCGCGGACGGAGCGCCACGGGGGCTTCCTGCAGAGGCCAAAAAGGGCAGCCCACGACCTGTCTTCCCTCCAAGCTCCACAGTGTTGTCAGCAAAAAAAAAGAGCTAGTAGCATTAAAGTTGTGAGCGAGTCCACATTTGACTACTGCATCAATTATTTTTGGAAGGTTATTTCCATAACCTGGTAAAAAAATCTCAGAATGAATGATTTTAAATTATATTTTAAGAATAATTTAAGAGAACACACAAGAGAAAACAGAATCAAGTCAGATTTCGTTACACAAAATGTTGTGCTCTAAAGGGGTAGGCTTGCCCTCCAGAGAACAGGTCTCCCCATCCCAGTAGTATAGTAGCCCCAATCTACTAGATTGGTAGACCTGGCCTCCGGAGAACAGGTCTACCCACCTCATTCCACTATATTGATAGACCTGGCCTCCAGAGAACAGGTTTACCCTCCCCTTTCCACTATGTTGGTAGACCTGGCCTCCGGAGAACAGGTCTACCTGCCCTGGTCCACTACCTGTCTCCAGAGAACAGGTCTACCCGCCCCTTTCCACTATATTGGTAGACCTGGAATTTTTGATGCCTCCTTTTGAAGAACTGACTGCTCACTGATGCCAAGGCGACATTATTCCTAGCAGTGTTATCCCTCCTGAGACATAAAAGAAAACCCCCAATACTGGAGGCCACCAGCTTTTCCTTGTTCTTTGCTCCAGCTAGACTGGCTTAAGTTTCCTCGCAACACCGATCTCACAAGGAAGGGCAGGAAACTGGGGTCCGACTGCGTGGCACTCACGGGGTTCAGGAGGACCGTCAGGAAGAGTTCCCCGCCACGGATGCTCTTGTCGAGCTCTTTGGAGCCGCCGGGATATTCGTTGTAGAAGATGGTGTGAGTGAAGAGGCCACAAGTTTGCCGAGGCAACACCTGGGTGAGTCAGGAAGAAGGGAAAGGTTAGAGGTGGCAGAAGGAACCGGGTGCGAATCTTCAGAGGTACCTAATATAATACAATACAGGAAAGAGCTAAACGTGACAGTGCCAATTCCACACAAATCAGCTGACCCTTGTCTGAAAGCTTCCGTTACCACTCTGAAGCTCTGCTGACACCAGACTCTCTTATTCAAGACCCCCACCCTCCCTGCGAGGTGAAGGCCGGAGATGGGGCACAGAAGCAGCCAACTGGGCATTTCCCAGCCGTGGCCTGAGTGGTTTCTTCAGAGCGATCAGCGCTCAGGATCCGGGGATCCGCCCTGGGCTCTCCAGGCCCCCCGGCTCAGATCAACCTCCGGATCACCCGCGGGGGGGCTTCGTTGTCTCACCATGATCCCATTATGGGTGAAGCCCCGGCGATAGCGGGCCGGCCGAAGGTGGGGGTACTCTTCCGTGCTGGTGACCTGGATGCCCCAGACCGCCTTCCACGCCTCATAGAGCTGCGCGTGGACAGGATAAACCCCTGAGTGGTGGGGGGCGACTGCATAGCCCAAGTCCGTGGGGATCCCGTGCTCCTGGAAACAGAAAACAGCTTTGAAGAGCTCCCCGCGCGGCCGGAGGCCTGTAGAATGCAAGGAAGGGTGGAACGGAGGATGCCCAGTGGCTGCGGGGGGCAGGAGGAGGCCGGGAGGAAGGGCTGGGGTCGGTGGCCTGGGGGCCAAGCAGAGGAGCTGGGGAAGAACCAGGTGCCCACAGCTCACCCCCGGATGGCCAAGCAGAGGCCCTACACCAGGCTGGTTTGCTTGGAAGTCTTTGACCACGAAGGACTAACAGGAGGTACAGAACAAAGTTTGAGTCTGGTGGCACTTTTAAGACCAGCAAGGTTTACACATGGAAGCTTCTGCCCAGAATGCACACGACTGCTGCTTTCGGTGCCATGGGACAAGCGACATTTCGATGGTGGTGCAGCAGGAAAGGGGCTCTTTACTGCCTCCCCCCTCAAACGTCATGCTGTTCAGTTCCACATTTCCTACAATAATCCTGTATTTATAGGTTCCTTTGATGGTTTCCTTGAACAGGTTTTTTTTGTGGGGGGTTTTGGGGTTAATTTTTACCCTGAGCATTTCCACCTGTTAATTAAACTTTGTTGGACTTTAAGGTGCCACCGGACATAAATGTTGTTCTCCTGCTTCAGACCAACACGGCGAGCCCACCTGGATCTAACCTGAGGTACGTATGGCAAGTGGGTTAGTTAATAAAAAGAGGCTAGTTAACTTATGCAGGTTTACTTTATGAGAACAAGGACCAAAGCAAAATGGGCCCAGATAGGAAGAAAGGAAGTAAGGATTGGTGCAAAATGCTGGTAAGTCCAACCCAAGGTGCTTTTGGACTTGGGAAGAAACTGTGGGGTTGCCGTCGGCTACCACATTCTAACAGCTTCCCTGGCAAACAGACTCTAACAAAACCATCCTGCCCCATTTTTGTGGTCTGCTGATAACCGCCTCTTCGCAAGGGGACATGCCTCAAAGCTCCATGGCTGTGCTTACCATGCATTTGGAGGCGTGCATTCATTCATTCATTATTTATTTAGAGATTAAACCTTTAGCCCGCCCTCCCCTGTGTACGCACGGCAAACGTGGGCATACGACAGGCGTCCAGTGCAATAGCTGTGCATGTGGAACTGACCCTCCTGGGTCATGGCAGGCTGAACAGACGGCATCTGTCGGAATGGAAAGGCTCACTTGCTGGACTGAGCCACCGACACAGAGGTTGGAGGGAGATGTGGACACAGAAATGCACCCGATCCACGCCCGTTCAGACCACGGAGAGTGGCCCCGAGGCAGCCCCTGCCAGGATCCAAGGAGCCACCGGAGACCACGTGCCGCTAACGAGATGTTCCCTCTTCCCCGCCAGCAGCTGTTCCTGGGGCTGGCCCTGCACCGGAGGGGGGGGGAGGAGGGTTCACAGGAGGCATCGACCAAGGTCGCTCATGGCCACTGGGCTGCCGGAATCAGCTGGAACCCTCCCAGGGACCTTGTGGGTGCTGTGCCCGCTGAACCCCCCCGTCCAGCCCCCCACAGCAGCCTCCCTTCGGATGCAGCGGAGCCCTGAGCCAGACCCCGAGGCCCTGCCCTACCCAGGAAACAAAAGGAAGACGAGAGGTGGTGAGATGATGCAAGTTCCACCAGACTGCCTCTCGCCTCTGAAGGCCTCTGAAGCCCTTTGCCTCCACGGGATGCACACGGCTGCCGCTTTCGGTGCCATGGGACAAGCAACATTTCCATGGTGGTGCAGCAGGAAAGGGGCTCTTTACTGCCTCCCCCCTCAAACGTCATGCTGTTCAGTTCCACATTTCCTACAATAATCCTGTATTTATAGGTTCCTTTGATGGTTTCCTTGAACAGGGTTTTTTGGGTTAATTTTTACACTGAGCATTTCCACCTGTTAATTCTATTGACCTGTTAATTCTACTCAGCCTCTCTGGGGTCAGGCGGCATCTTAAATGGACGCTTCTCCCCTCGGAGTAGAGTGCTCTTCTCCCCTCGTTAGAAACCCATTCCTTTGGGGAATCTCTTGTTGTTGCTCACAAACGTCCCTCTCATTTCCTTTATTCCACCCCCCCCCAGAGGACGCACCGTTTGTATCGAGAAGAAGACGTCTCAGCTGATCCAGTATGATGCCTTCCCACTATTTCAAAGCTGGCCAGGAAACAGATTTCTGACAAACAGTGAATCCAGCATTATGCCAATAAAGGTTTTTGGGATTGGAATCCAGCCTCTCTGACAGAAAAGATCCCCCGCCTTGTCTTCAAACCCTGATTTGCCTCAAGAGAGTCAGGGGCGGCTTCTCCTGAGTAGTCCAGCTTCGATTCTAAGGCAGGAGGCTGGAGCAAAACCAGGGAAGCTTAAACAGCTGCTGCATTTCAGGAGACGATCCGTGGAAGACTTGTCTGCGATCTTACTAAGTTGGCAGCGGTTTGTCTTCCCCTCTGTTTCAAACTCATCCGTGCTTTTCTCTTCCCACTCCTCTTCCCTGCCACAGAGTGGGCCGAGCCCTTTCGCCTTACTTATCTGGACCCAGGGAGACCTGGCTGGAACAGAGGCCATTTCCTGGGTAGGCAGTCACCCCCCCCCATGCCTCTACTCTGAAATGGTTCAGCCCCCAGGAAGAAAACTTCCCCATGAGAATCTGCTCAGTGTGAGAACTGGCTCTTGGCGGGAAACAGAACTACATGCCTGGAAAGTGGCCTTCTCATCACCTCACCGTCCTTTACCTTTAATGGCCAATTCACTTGATCTAACCGGCTCTTGGAACTAGCTAACTAATACCCAGTAAGAGCCATGGTGTATTGCTGGCTTGCCAGATACTGCAAGCTCAGCAGGGTCAGTGCTTGGAGGGGAGGCCACCCCCAGGGAAGACGCCCCAACTCCTCTGCTTCCTGCCTCGGAAGCGCTTTGGGGGCTGGGGTCCCCATAAGCCGTTAGTCTGATGGCACACATACAACTGGACCTGGTATTCAAAGCAACACTTAGCTGTGAGGACTGCAATGGAGAGGCACTGAATTTGTGCTCTGAAACCAGCTGAACAACCTTACACACCATTCTTACCCACACAAGACAAGTCCTCTTGTGTTTGGATTCCACAGGGGCCAAGAGCCAGAAATCTGTTTTATCATTTAGAACATTTCCACCTTGCCTTTCCACCCAAATAAGGGGCCCAAGGCGGCAAACATCAAAACGTTTCAGCATTAAAATAAAGCATGCATAGAACAGTTCAGTAAGAGCTGGCAGACAGACAGGACACCGAAACCGGGGAGGGAGGCCGAGGAGGTCTGCTGCCTGCACGTCCCTCCCTTACCAGAGCAAACTGCCTGTTGAGCTTCATCTGCTCGGCCAGCACCGTCACGTTGTGGAAGAGGTGCGGCTGCATGTGGCTCCACATGTGGGGGAACCACCAGAACTCCTTCCGGTGCTTCAGCAGCATGTCGTCACCTTCGTCCTCCTCGTCGGTACCTGGGGAGGGAGAACCACAGGAAGGAGGAGAGGAGGGAAGCCGGAACAGCATCCCTTCATCCTGGAACAGCCTCATATACAAAGGGAACAAAGGGGACCTTCACTGGGATAAAAGGTAAAGGTAAAGGTCTCCCTTGCTCGAAAGCCAGTCGAGTCCAACTCTAGGGTTGCGGTGCTCATCTCCGTTTCCAAGCCAAAGAGCCAGCGCTGTCCGAAGACGCTTCCGTGGTCATGTGGCCGGCATGACTAAACACCAAGGCGCACGGAACACTGTTACCTTCCCACCGAAGTGGTACCTATTTATCTACTTGCCATTTCTTGCTTTCGAACTGCTAGGTTGGCAGGAGCTGGAACCAGAGACGGGGGCTCACTCCATCATGCGGCACACCCGGGTCTCGAACTGCTGAACTACCGACCTTCCACAGCCTGCAGTTCAGCATCTTAACCACTGGAGCCACCGCAGCTCCGTCCCTGGGATAAAACACCCACACAAATATTTCCCTGCGCTTTATGTACAAAGGCGGCAGAAAACCCCTTCTCTGTCAGTCTCTGGCCAACCCCGGGTCACCCTTCCAGAATCGGCCTCCACGATACAGCCTGAGCAGAACATAGTCCCGGGGCTTCCCAGGAAGCCATGTTGCCAGCCACTCTTCCGGGGACAGGGGAGTCTGCACTGCCGTGCGTGAGAGAAGGGCCAACGTGCTTACCTGTATGGTAGAATTTCCCAGAGAATCCCAGGTTGAAAGTGAAATTGGGGACTAAAGTTCTCAGCTTGTTCTGCGTGTTCAGCAGAGCCTGCGGGGGAACAGAGACAGAAGGGGCAAAGGGATTAAACTTCTTGGCCAATATTTCCCTGTACCTTGTGTACATACAGATATGGAAGAGCGCCAACAAGCACTGCAGAAAACACCTTTGTCTAACAGAATCTGTGGCAGGGCAGGAGCTTTGGCGAGCCACTGCTCCCTTCTTTAGATACCTCAGATTCTTCAGTTTGTTAAGTGCGCGGACTCTCATCTGGGAGAATGGAGTTTGATTCCCCACTCCTCCACTTGCACCTGGCTGGATGACTGGATGACCTTGGGTCAGTCACAAGCTCTGGCACAGCTGTCCTTGAAAAAGAGCAGTTTGTGTCAGAGCTCTCTCAGCCCCACCCACCTCGCAGGGTGTCTGTTGTGGGGAGGGGAAGGGAAAGGAGTTTGTAAGCCGCTCTGAGACTCCAAGTGAAGGGCGAGGTATAAATCCAATCTCCTTCTCCTCCTCCTCCTCCTCTTCTTCTTCTTCTGGCACCAGAAGGAGCGAGCAGTGACTCACACAAGCTCCTACCCTGCCACAGATTTCCTTAGTCCTTAAGGTGCTCTTGCTCTTTTCTACCATGTCAAAGGGATAAAAATTGTGGCTGGCACCCCCCCCCCCAATCTAGGTGCCGTCTCCAAGGTACGGAGGTGGGGTGGGCAGGCGGGGGCCCACCCCGTGTTCCTCTGTACACTGTTCCCCCCTCGGGGCTGCATATGGAAACCATGACCACAGACATGAGTCCTGCTGCCCAGCAGAGGCATCGGGAACTTGAGGGAGGGTCACACACCCCAGCTCAGGCAGGCGGCTGCTGCTGATGCCTAAAAATAGAGATTCCACAACAGTCCTTATTTCTTCCCTTCTCTGCTTTTTCCTTTTCCTTTTTAAAGCCGAGGATAGTCTGAGCAGGTTGAAAGTTGGGACTGAGGAAAGTGAGCTAATCCCTTCCCCCTTATTAAAATGCCCTTTTGGAAACTGTGATTTCAACTATAGAGCAAAAAGATCCAGGGAAGAGGTCTAACAGATTTTTTTTTTTTAAAGTTCACATACAATTGTAACATTATTAGGCACCTGAGGTTTCGTGGACAGAGGGAAAAAATGCATTTTTCTTTGGGACTGTGAGGAAATGCAGTTTTTCTGCTGGGAGGTTTGAGATGAGCAAAGCCTCCACTGTGCATTGTAAAAGTTTTTCCTCTGGGCTGAGAACAGGCAGGGGGGGGGGAGTCTGTGCAACTGCTTTCATACACATGCAAATGGAGCTAGCAGGAGAGATAATGGGTGGGTCGAGCTCTTCCCCTTCTCCAAGCGGGGAACGAACAGAAACTTGGAGGGATTAAGGCTAGAAAGTCTTCAGGAAGGAAAATTCTAGAGACATCCAGGAAAAGCCTCTTTGATCTGTGGTGATCTGGTCAGGGGGTGGGGAAAGGAAGGAGATAAAACTCCTGGGGGCCAGGAGGAAGCTCTCTTTTCCTGGGATGTGGAGTCCATGAGAGGACGCAGACCTCTCCTCTGGAGCAGGCAGCCATTTTGACCATGTGCTCACCTGGAGAACTGAAGGAAGCTTCAAGGTATAGGAAACTTTGTAGGGATTGGTAACTATCTAAACTAAAGTGGCCCTATATTTTAACATCTAATAGGGCATGTATATATATAGAGAGAGACATAGGGCATATATATAGAGAGAGATTTGCATTTTTCCCATTTCTTTTGTATTCCTGTATCAGTTTGGTGTTGTGCTAAAAGTATGCTTATGAACATGGATGACCTTGGGCAAGCCATAGTTCTGTCAGAGCTGTTCTCTCAAGGACAGTTTTATCAGAGTTCTCTCAGCCCCACCAACCTCACAGGGTGTTTGTTGTGGGGAAGGGAAAGGAGTTTGTAAGCCGCTCTAAGACTCCAAGTGAAGGGCAGGATATAAATCCAATCTCCTCCTCTTCATTCTCTTTTTAATAAATACTTCATAACCTTGGTTGTTTTCCGTGGTTCTCTGTATCACATAGACTTCCACCCTTTCGGACACACTATTTTAAAAGGAGCACCAAGAGGAAGGCAGGCAGTTGGCAAGCAGCTATTCTTCCAGGGGCGTGCAAGGCAATAATCTGTCCTCGTGGTGACCAGGCACTGGACAACGGGAGACACAGAGGCAAGGCCTTGGAACCCTGACTCTCCGAGTGGGTAATTCCTTACAAAGGTCAGGTGGCGGCGGCAGGCTACTGGAGAGAAAGACAAGCCCCTTCTGGTGTTGAGAACCCCCCAGGACGGTGGGGCGGAACAGGGCCTGCAGGTCAGAACAGGCGTGTTCCACCACAGGGATGATAATACATAAATAGTTGCGGTGGAAATGTAGATCAACTCACCCACCCCATGTGACTTGACTACTCTGGCCATGGATGCTACCTGTTTCTTATGCAAAGAGCGCTGGCCCTTGTACCTGCAGCACAATCAGAGCATCCCAGCTTGCGTGTATCTTTAAGTGACCTCAGAGCTGCATGCCCTGCCTGAAGTTCACTTGTACCCAGATTCTGCAGAAATTTTGCCTCAATAAATATTTAACAAGAAATGCAGCCACACCGTACAATGAGAAAGCCAAATATTTAACCCCTCCCCTGCCCTTGCCTATGCGAAAGCAGCATCACTACGCTCCAAATCAGTTCTATTTAAGTGCAGTGACGATAACACAGCCTGACCCTCATTGTCCAGGCAGGCTAGCCCCACTTCATCAAATCTCAGAAGCTAAGCGGGCCTGGTCCTCATTAGTTCATGGACGGAAGACCACTGAGGAAGAAGGTCCCAGGCTGCTATGCAGAGACAAGCCACCCCGTGATAGGCTTGCCATGACTTGACGGCACGTTCCACCAGAACTTCAACACATTCCAGTGGTCACACTCGAGGTCGCCCCCTGGTGGCTGCAGCATGGGACAGGTGCCGGACCACCCTGCTGGGATTGGCAAGGGAGGTCGGGGCCAGCCTAGGGTGGGGCGGCAGCCCACATTCTCCACCATCTTGTATGCCGTTGTCAGGACTCTCAACAGGCCTCAGAATGGGAGGGGGGTTGCATCACTGAGTCCTCGTTTTCTCAGCTGGAAGGCTTCACTGGTAGGCATGAGTCTCCAGCCCTCCGGTCAGCCTCCGCCTTCCTGCTACTGCCGTTGCCCTGGGCTCTTGATGAAGACCGGCTTCCCCGGTGCCTCCTGGGGCTGTGGAGGGGCCGAGGCGTTGGTGGCCACTGAGGGCCACTGCTGTAGCCCGGCAGTCCCGCTCGCCACTCCAGGGCAAACAATACCCAAGTACTCAAGAGCAAGCAAAGCAGCCACTGGCCAAAGCCTCCCAGTGCAAATAGAACCAACAAGCCCAAAGAACCAATGAAGAACCAGGGAATCCCAGCAGACATTCAGGACCATCTGGCGAGCCTAGCACAACAAATATTGTGATATCAAACCAACGGCAAACAGAGAATCCTTCCAGCCAAACCAGCGGAACAAGGAAAATCACTGCAAGCCTGACTAAGGTCCAACCTGGGAATCCAAGCCAACGTTTAACTAGAGAATCCAATGCAAAACATACACTTGATGCAAAGTAACTTAAACTAAAAACACCAACAAAAACTTTTTCAAAGGATAGAATCCAAGCCAAGCCAGCCTGGCAAGCCGACACCAAACCCTGACAATAGGACAGATACACAATGGAATTAAAGAAAAATAACCCTGGGAGCCTTACAATGCTGGCTCCTGATATTCCCAGTTAATCCCGGGTATTTCCAGGATTTTTCAGGACTCGCTTCCAGGTACTCAAAAAATCCCAGATACCACGCGGACGTATATTCAGATCAGAAATATCTGAATGCACTTTCGTAAACCAGACAACTGTTTGTAGCCTGTGACTGCCTTCAGAGTGTGGCTACATTCACCATCACGGGAGCTTTGGCTCTGGGAAGCCTCCGCCCTGGAAACCTTGTTGGTCTCGAAGGTGCTACTGGACTCCACTGCAGACAAACACGGCTGCCCCCCCGAAACGGCACCTGCAGAGCGGACACTCAGACCCTCCCCCCCCGGACACTCTCGGAGGTCACAGAACAGAGAGGGACCACAGCCGCAGTGCCCGCTTTGTGCTGATTCGCTGAGACCCCGACCCTGCTTCTTTTCAGGGAGGGTGCTGCTGAAACCTCTCCATTCCCTCCGAGAGTGGCTGGGCTTTTTCTGAGGGGCAGTCTATTGCAACAAAACAAAGCAGATGTTAAAAGATGATGATGAAGAAGAGATTGGATTTATACCCCGCCCTTCACTTGGAGTCCCAGACCGGTTTACAAATCTCCTTTCCCTTCCCCTCCCCACAACAGACACCCTGTGTGGTAGGTGGGGCTGAGAGAGCTCTGGACAGAAACTGCTCATAGGAACAGCTGTGCGAGAGCTTGTGACTGACCCAAGGTCATCCAGCCAGGTGCAAGTGGAGGAGTGGGGGAATCAAACCCGGTTCTCCCAGATTACAGTCCGCACACTTAACCACAACACCAAACTGGCTCTCTGAACACCTTTTAGTCCAGCATAAGCTTTTGTCAGCCAGAGCCCAATTCAGCAGATGTTTTGAAGAGGAAATCCTATCCCATGTTGGTGTGTGTGTGTGTGTGGGCTTTCCCAGACATCGATTCCACTTCCACAGGAGGCCAGGTGCAGGATCCTTCTGGCCGTTTTGCCACATGAGGTCCTCCGGGGGTATATCATGCTCCAAGACGGGCCACAGCCCACACAGAGCCGGTAATGGAGAAGGAATACGTCCACCAGCGTTCGATGGGCTCAAAGGCAGGGGCAGGGTGGAGCCCGTGCTTGCAAGCTTTCTCCTCCCTGCCCCAAGCCGGAGAAGAGCAGTCGAGATCAGTTCTCATCTGTTTATAAACAACCTGACCAATCTATTTAATTCCCTCGCCCTCCTTCAAAGACCCCTCCCCAGTGTGGAATTTTAGATTCACAGCCATCATGTGTTTGCAGACAAGTTGTCGTCGTTTTTTA